AGGCCTAAGTGGCAAAGAACTATGCATGGATGACCTCTCTGCACTAAGGATAGCCTCAAGGACCTGAAGGCAGCTTTCAGGGGACAGCCTGCAAAAAGCAAGCATCTGGCATCATACAACCAGAAGGAAAAGAATTCTGCCAGCAACCTGAATAAGCTTGGAAGCAAATTCTTACCTCAAAGCCTTGCTAGACCCTGAACAGAGGACCTAGATAAGCCATGCTTGGACCCCTGATTCGCAGAAACTGTGAGATAATTAATACATGTTATTTTAAGCTATTCAATTTTTGGCAATGTTTTTATGCAGCAATAGAAAACCAATACAAATGTATACTGTGTGCTGGCACTTTATTAGATATTGATGATTTAGTGGTAAGGGAGATGAGATGATAAAGACTAACAGGGGAGATGGGTGTAAGAAGACTTGCCATCATGAATGTCACAATGGGGGAAGGAAAGGGAGGTAGAAACACATATAGCAGGGACCTTAACATAAGGGTCAGAATCAGACCTCCTTGAGGAAGTGATGTTCGAGGCTTAAAGGATGAGTAGAAGTTAACCAAAATAAGAGATGGGGGAAAAGTCTCTGGAAAGATGAATAAGGACTCAAAAGAGAAGAGCATGTATGAAAGAGAGTGAAGACAGACCAAGAAGAATCCTGCAGAGCGGACTGTTCAGGAATTGTCAAATAGGCACTGCCTACAAAGAAGACCCAGGAGACAACCAGAGGGCAGATCAAGGGAGCACATCCTTGGGCTCCATATTTTAGATGGAACAGGATTTATCTGTTTAAATGGTGATAGGAAGAAGTCAATAGATAGGGGAAGTGGAAAAATATAAAGAAGTAGAGATGCTGAATAGAACAGTCCATGAGGAAGTCAGAGAAGTGATCCACATCACAGGTGGAGGTAGAAGCTGGAGACTATAGGGTCTCACTTCCAGGAAGGATTGAAAAGAATGAGGAAGAAAAGCACTAAGTATGTTTGCAGAGTGGGAGGTGGGAAGTTGAAGTTATCACTGATGGTTTCAACCTCCCAGTTGGACATCATTCACTGCAGATGAAGAACTGAAGGCCGGAGGAGAGAGGAGAATGCTTCAGGGGTCCATTATGGAAAATGGTACAGAGAGTGACTTGGGAAATGCAGGATTGCCAGTGTGTGTTGAAGAAATAATTTAGAAATGATCAGATGAGCATTTTATTAAAAACTCTGGGATAAGTACCCAGCTCTGCATCGCGCCGCCATGATGGGCCATCGTCCGGTGCTCGTGCTCAGCCAGAACACAAAGCGTGAATCTGGAAGAAAAGTTCAATCTGGAAACATCAATGCCGCCAAGACCATTGCAGATATCATCCGCACATGTTTGGGACCCAAGTCCATGATGAAGATGCTTTTGGACCCAATGGGAGGCATTGTGATGACCAATGATGGCAACGCCATTCTTCGAGAGATTCAAGTCCAGCATCCAGCAGCCAAATCCATGATTGAAATTAGCCGGATGCAGGATGAAGAGGTTGGAGACGGGACCACATCAGTAATTATTCTTGCGGGGGAGATGCTGTCTGTGGCTGAGCACTTCCTGGAGCAGCAGATGCACCCAACAGTGGTGATCAGTGCTTACCGAAAGGCGTTGGATGATATGATTAGCACCCTTAAGAAAATCAGTACCCCTGTTGATACCAATAACCGAGATATGATGCTGAACATCATCAACAGCTCTATTACTACCAAAGCAATCGGTCGGTGGTCCTCGTTGGCTTGCAATATTGCCCTAGATGCTGTCAGAACTGTGCAGTTTGAGGAGAATGGTCACAAGGAGATCGACATCAAGAAGTACGCAAGGGTGGAAAAGATACCTGGGGGCATCATTGAAGACTCGTGTGTCCTACGGGGAGTCATGATTAACAAAGATGTGACCCATCCACGAATGTGGCGTTATATCAAAAACCCTTGCATTGTGCTGCTGGATTCCTCTCTGGAATACAAGAAAGGAGAAAGCCAGACTGACATTGAGATCACAAGAGAGGAAGACTTCACGCGAATCCTCCAAATGGAAGAAGAGTACATCCAGCAGCTCTGTGAGGATATTATCCAACTGAAGCCTGATGTGGTCATCACAGAAAAGGGCATCTCAGATTTAGCTCAGCACTACCTCATGCGGGCCAATATCACAGCAATCCGCAGAGTCCGGAAGACAGACAATAATCGCATTGCTAGAGCCTGTGGGGCCCGGATAGTCAGCCGGCCGGAAGAGCTGAGAGAAGAAGATGTTGGGACAGGAGCAGGGATGTTGGAAATCAAGAAAATTGGAGATGAGTACTTTACATTCATCACTGATTGCAAAGACCCCAAGGCCTGTACCATTCTCCTCCGCGGGGCCAGCAAAGAGGTTCTCTTGGAAGTGGAACGCAACCTCCAGGATGCCATGCAAGTCTGCCGCAATGTCCTCCTTGACCCCCAGCTGGTTCCGGGAGGTGGGGCCTCTGAAATGGCTGTGGCCCACGCCTTGACAGAAAAGTCCAAGGCCATGACAGGTGTGGAACAGTGGCCATACAGGGCTGTTGCCCAGGCCTTAGAGGTCATCCCTCGTACCCTTATCCAGAACTGTGGGGCCAGCACCATTCGTCTGCTTACCTCCCTCTGGGCCAAGCACACCCAGGAGAACTGTGAAACATGGGGTGTAAACAGTGAGACAGGCACCTTGGTGGACATGAAGGAACTGGGCATCTGGGAGCCACTGGCCGTAAAGCTGCAGACATACAAGACGGCAGTGGAGACGGCAGTTCTCCTACTGCAGGTTGATGACATTGTCTCGGGCCACAAAAAGAAGGGTGATGACCAGAGCCGGCAAGGCGGGGCTCCCAATGCCAGCCAGGAGTGAGTGGAGGGCAACACCAGCTCAAGGCACCAAGCCGCAGAGGCTCCCTCTTCCCTGAGCCAGACTGCCAGGGGCACTGTGGATGTCTTTGTTTGGAAGGGACCGGATTGAGGGGCAGCCTCAGCCCCTTTCTGTCTCAGCTCAGTTTGCAAAAGGCGCTGACATGTAACTCTTCTCTATTGTAAGCTTTCCATTTAATTTAGTTTGCTTCCGATGATTAAATCTAAGTCATTTGAAAAAAAAAAAACAATTCTGGGATAATATGTGATTCAGTATAGGTGGCAAGGGGCATTGGACAGTGAATCAGAGGCAGGAAACAGGGAGAAACTAGGAGCAAGGCTGCTGGAGAAGACAGGCAAACAGAGGGGCTTGTGCTTTGGATGGCCAAGAATTACAAGAAAAGGAAGAATCTTGAATTAAATGGCCTTAGTATCCAAAGTTAAGAATTTGATTATTTTTGTTTATGTGTCAGGATAAACTATTGGCTTAGTCATAACCCAGCTTTTTTTTTTTTTTTTTTGCTTTGGTGGAGGAGGAAAAGCAGAATATATCAATGCCCTAGAACCAACCCTCCTTTCCTCCCCTACAATCTCTACAGATGCATGGATTCACCACCTCTCTTGTGGGATGGAAGGCCAAATCTCTTCACTCTTTGTAGAGTCTTTTCCTTCTGTGTCATTATTCTCTCTCATTTCACTGACCCTCTCTGATCCCCTTTCCCTTTTTAATAGATGACCCCACATCAAGCTGCCTCTCCCTTTTTTGTGACTCCATGGCCTCTCACTCTGGACCCATACTTTTGGATGACTTGGAATCCTCTCAATTCCATATTTTAGGGGTCTTTGTCAGTGGGTCTAGGATGCTCTATATATTTCCACTCTATGCCAGTGCTAGAGGACTGAGCATCGCTCAGAGCTCTTCCCACCAGCACAGAGCTCTGCTGAAGTCTGTGACTACCACCCATAAATATACAACTCCCCTGTTGTCATTGCCCAGACATTATCTAAGATCCAGATCTTTGTCTCCAGCTGTCTGCTAGACATGACCACCTCCGTGTCCTTCAAGGATCTCAAATATAACATGCCCGTCTCTCCTACTCATGACTGTACTCTGACCCTTTACACATGAAAACATTGGTTCTCTGCATATTATGTTTGTGAACCACCATCTACACAGATGCCCAAGTCAGAAACCTGGGCATTATTCCAGACACTTCTCTTTCTCTTTCTACTGTGAGCGGTAGAAAGTACATGTCAGTACATGTAAACTCTACAGGTTCTACTTCTTTAGTATCTCCCAATTCAGAAATTTGATGGGGTTCTACCATGGAGGTTTTAATGACACCCCCTCTGATTCCAACAGGTTAAAAATCTAAATTCCTGCACCGAATAGGTCAGGCCCTTCACAATCTAACATTTGCTCACCTATAAATAATAATGTTTTATCACATCTGGTCTCCTCCTCTACAATTTACTTTCTACCCACTAGTATTTATTTATTTATCTATCTATTTATTTATTTGTAAGATTTTATTTATTTATTAGAGAGCGAGAGAGAGAGAAACAGCATGAAAGGGGAGAGGGTCAGAGGGAGAAGCAGGCTCCCGCTGAGGCGGGAGCCCGACGCGGGACTCGATCCCAGGACTCCGGGATCATGACCTGAGCCGAAGGCAGTCGCCCAACCAACTGAGCCACCCAGGCACCCCAGTATTATTTATTTAGATATATTTTCCAGAACATGCCACATTTTTATCTTTTCTGACTTTTACTTAACTCTTCCCTCAGATTTACAATATTCTCCTCTAATTTGTCTGCCTATTTGGTGAAATGTCCCCTGGCTCTGACACCTGGAATGTTTTTTTCTCTGCTCTACTGAAACTTATTTCTCATCGCCATTTTAACAATAGTTATAAGGTGTTATAATCGGCTGCTTGATAGCCGAGCATAGGTCATATTCTCTCATGTATCCCTAGCATATGCAATGTCTGCTAAGCAGCTGATAGCTCAATACTTTTTGAAAGGAATGAACACATGGCGGGTATGTTGCAATGTGTCTCATCATGCTTGCAGTTAACGTATAAAGAGATCAGGGGTCACAGCATGAGTTCTTCATGTCATTTTTTTTACTGAATGTTTTCTATTTGGATTATGTCCAAGAAAAGAAAGATCAAGAGAGTTGTGAATTCAGTATAGAAATCATGAAGATGTTGCCCTGGGGGACAGAGGAATGGAGCGCCTCAGTGGGTATTAATAGTTTTCATGATCCATCTTGCATAGTGATGAACTTCTGTGAAGAACCCTTCACTTCCCAGGGTGACACTTCCTTTGTCCCAGGACAAGATTCCATGCAGCCTCCCATTGCAGATGGCTGGAGCAGCTGAGACTTCCTACCAGAGAGAGGGAACAGGAGGTCAATGTTGCTTTGTCCTCATGGAAAAAGAATAAATCCCAAGACATGGCATACTATAGTCTCAGAGGCATCTAAAGGACTAGACTCATTTTTCTTGAACGGTAACAACCCTGTCTTCACATCCACCTAGATCTCACCTCTCTTGGTTCAAGCTTGAGCCCAACCTGAATGCAAACAGGAAGAGAAAGGACAAATAGTTCTACCCAGAACTGTAAAATTAAGTAACAGGAATTAATGACCAACCCAAAGACCGGGAGGGAGAAGAGAGGGACTCCAGGCCTTTTGGATGAGCACCATTTGATTTTCCACAACCACCTCTCCTCTTCATGGACCCCTTCTATCTTTCTATCTGAAGAAAGGAAAGATACCTTAGCTTTAGATATGATGTTTAAAGGTTGTCCCACACACATGATGTGCACTGCCATTCTCTGTCCTGCCATATTCCTGCAGTCATCAAAGGGATGAGAAGGTTGATTTATCCAAGTCAGGATGTCAGGGTCACTAACTGTGGGGAAAAAAAGACAAATGAAGTCCACAGTTAATCTGCTTGTCACACATATTCCTGTGATGGCTCCCTACTTTGTAAACACATTCCATCCTATTTGGGATTCTCATTCAGTATCTACGTTGGAGCAGCAGATTCAGAACATGACGTTCTTACATCAGACATCAGATCTGTCATTCTCCCTCTCCTCTGCCTAATTTAGAAACCTTTGAAAACCTGCCAGAAGATTATAAACGGCCATGAAAACAGACAAACACAAAGCCATTGTCCCTAAGAAGCCTTTATATTTGGCACCTACTTCAACTTCTTTACATTTAAACTTTTTTTTTTAAGATTTTATTTATTCATTTGAGAGAGAGAGAAAGAGAGCACAAATGGGGTGAGGGTCAGAAGGAGAAGCAGACTCCCTGCTGAGCAGGGAGCCCAATGTGGGACTTGAACCTGGGACTCCAGGATCATAACCTGAGCCAAAGGCAGATGCTTAAGGACTGAGCCACCCAGGTGCCCAACTTCTTTACATCACAAAGGGAGAAAACTATTTTTAATGTGTCCAAAGCTGCTTTTTTAATGAAATAGATTGTTTATAAATGGATTATTTATAAGTGTGTGTATGTGTATGCATAAGTATACATATATATTTCCCCCGAAGAAGTCAGAGTGCTCGTCTCCCTCATTGCAATTGTTACTCTACTGTTAACCTCAGAATGCAAGGATTCTAACCAAGGTATTATATAATTCTAATATCTGGTGGGGAGTGACAAGGAGGAAGGAAACAAAAAACTGATTAGAGATTGTTCAAACTAATCCTAAGTGTTACTTACAGAGCAGGATTTTTCTGATAGTGTATCCAACCTAATGTCCTAAAACAGAAAGTTTCAAGTCAGAAAAGATAGAGGGGAATTATGTTCAGTTTTAAGTTTTTATGGGAGTTGAAATGTGTAGAATAAGGAGGTGAAAGTAATTAAGCACTTGAAATAATGAATTCCTAATAAATATCCAAACCCTTGCACCAAAGAGCTTACAGAATTAGTTTGTCACTATGATTCTGACATGCAGAACCCATGTGACAAAGCCTTTCTATGATTTTATTTTGTTTTCAAACAGTATGTAATAAATTACTTTTGCAATTACTTTGAATAAGATTTGAAAGTCAAGGATAAAAATCATAAACTTTGATTTGTTCAGAAAATATATTCACTCAGATTTCCAGAAATGTTGCTTCTGAATTAAAAATCAAGTTGCCAAGTCCTGAGAATATAAAAGTTTCCACTTTGTATTGTTTTTATGGGACAGATGGATTGTTCTGTCGCCATCAGTGCAGGGTTGAAACCTGATTAATGTCATGACAATTGCCTCAGTGAACACAACTTCATCAAGATAATCAATGTCACTTTTTAAAGTCGGCCAATCAGACCCCCTGCAATAAACATGCCTCAAAGTGCCAAGCAATGAACAACAACCATGCCCCTACAGATGTCAGCCCCCTTAAGCCTCTGAAAGTCCTCCAATCTCTGTACCAAAAGCTTCCCCCAATCCCTATCTAGGTCCAGTACTCTGCTCTGCTCAGTAAGACTGGTATCTGCTCAGGTTTGTTCTCCCTTATTATAATCATTAATAAATTTAGCTTTATCATTTCATTTCAGATATTGAGTGGTTGCCCCATCATCCTTTGACAATCCCTAAAGAGAGTATGATGGTTTATTAGCAGCCACATGAAGTAAAGACCCACCAACGACCAACAAATGAGTAAGAAAGCAACTTTCTTCATGAAGTGGCCTCGGTAAAACATGCTCAGAGTAAGTAGACCAGATGTTCTCTGCCCATGCCAATAGAGCTCAGAGGCTGGAGGCATGCGTGCCTGCAACAGGGTCTGTGGCAATTTTTCTCAGAGGTCATTCAGGCCAGAGAGACACCAACAGTATGTCATAATCAACTCCCCTGTGCATGCCCTGGTGTCCACCTCTGAGGGGAAACTCTTGGGTGAAGCGGTAGGTGTAAAAGAGTTGCAGTCTTGGGTGGGAAGAGCTCCCTCAGCTACACTCATCTCTCAGGGTCCACTTGAGTGAATCACCATCAACATAGGTTGGGTTGTCTGTGGCAGGGGATGGGAAGTGTCCTCTGTCACCTCACCATATGTTCTGTTTTTGTTTTTCCCGCTGCTGTTGGATGAATTACTTGGTGGACTTTTAGCAGCTGTCAATGAGATAGTAGCCAGCCTCCCACAGGATGCCTTGATACTGTTTTTAGAGTGAGGACTCTTAGTTTCTCCATCATTATCTGAATTCAGTTCCCTGGACTCTGGTCTTGAATGTTCTAGAGATAGGAGAGGTGCTGCCTGGTCCATTCATTGGTGTCAGATTGGCTGCCCTGTATCAGTCTCTGAATGATATCCCTTGGCTTCCAATCTTGGTAGGATAAGGTCCTGGCAATAATCACTGTAGGTTCAAGAACATTACCTCATGGCAACCATTCCCTTCAGGTATATCCCTCCATATTTTTTTCCCCAGCTCCAAAACCTCCTCAGGATGAAGAACACAGAGTCAAACACTTACGGTTTTTGTATTCATTCCAAGTCCAGGTTGGGATAAAGCAGGAATCATTAAATGTTAAGGGCTCCATAGATATGGCTATGGTCCCCACATGGGAGTTGAGTACAGCAGCCTTGGAGAGTTTTATCAGCATCAGGTCATTCTCCAGTGACTGTGCCTTGAACTCAGGGGCGGGGATAATCAGTGAGTAATTCCGTATCTGCTCTTTCTTATTTCTGATGCTGGGTTGATAAACTCCCAGTCGGATTTTAACCCTTTGGAAGAAAGAGAGCAGGGAGGTGAGAAAGAGCAGGTCACAGAATGTCAGAATGGCAACAAAGGTCAGAAGTGACCTCCCCAATCGTCTTCATTTTCTCTCTCATATCTGAGAACTGAAGTGACCTGCTTCGGTTTGACAGATTGTACTAGTAGTTTATGGGCTTGTTGTATTAGGGTCTAGGGTTGGTATATATGTAAAATCTGACATGTATCTGCCACCTAGAGCACACTGGTACAGTCTAGTTTTATTATTGTTACTAAGAATTGGAAAATCTAACCAGGCAGATAATAGAGATGTGCCTACACCACGTTGTCTTCAAGCAGCACTTGAGCAAGTATATCATACCCTTCATTTCTGGATATTCTTAGGTCCCTCCTAGCTCCTCTCAAGCCCATATCACTATATTTACAATGTGCTGCCTTCTTTATCATTGATCCCCAAGGCTCTTAGCCTATCAGGGCTCCCATTATGATTTTCTATTATATTTCCTGGACACATTCAAACACACCCACTCCATCACCAGGAGTCCAGTCATGCCATGGATACAAGCACCATTTCCTACCAAAAACAGTTCATGCACTAGATCTGGCTGAGAAAAGAACATGAAGTTTTCCAACTCCCATTCTTGGAGGGGATGAACTATCTTTCCTTTGTATGTCTTATCATGTGCAGAGCAGGGGGTCCATCTGTGCTTGAATAAATTGTCTTTAATGACCAGGTGGCTGAGAGCTCTGAGTTTGAAATGAGCCTTGTAGACTCCTAAAACTGTGACTAGGTCCCAGTCCCAGAGCACATTCTCATGCAGTCACGGCAGGGATGCAGATCTATGAGGGAGAGCAGGATTTTGTGCAGTGCTCCCCTGTGCTTCTCCTGCTCCCTGCTTCCTGTGGCTTCTGCCTGGCTCTTCCCCTCACCTGTGGACATTCTCCTATTCACTACAGTCCACACTGGTCTTCGAATTGACCTAATACCTTCTCTACTTCAGGGACTCTACGTACCCTGTCCCCCCTGCCTGGAATGTTCCCCAGGCTTTATGCCTTCAGCTGCCTCCTCCTCTTCCTGTTGGTCTCATCTCTTGAAAGAGGCCTGACATGACCAGCCTAACTAAAGCAGACCTCTGGTTTCATTCCTTTATGTTACAGCTTGCCACTCTTTTGGTGTTTTATTTTTGGGTGTTTATTTGTTTTGGCCTATGTCCTCTACTGGAATGTAAGCTTCAGAAGAGAAAATTTATTTTCATCTTGTTCCCTTGCTCTTTTCTCAGTGCATTAAACAGTTCCTAGCACATAGTAAATGCCCAATAATATGTTGAATGAATGAGTATTATTTATTCTCCATGAAAGTTCTCCTGACACCTTCCTGTCGATCTCCTCTTAAACCACCCAAATTGGTATTATTTTCCCTATTGGGAAGGAGATCCTCTATCTTCCCTGGTCTTCTAGTTCCCTTAGGATATAATTAAGACTTGCTGGGATGCCTCACCAGACCTGCTTTTGTTTAAACAAATCCCTCCCAGCTCCCAGGAACAAAGGGATACTTACGGTAAGGGGCAGTGGGCAGCCGTCAATACCCATTCAGGGTGAATGAGAGATCCCACACAGGGTTCTGAGCTGGACTGCAGATAGACCATGTAAGGAATAGTAAAATCTTCTGGTAAGTTCAGGTCATCATCTTTAGAGTCTCTGGCCAGAACAACTCCTCAAGAATTGATGGGGTCACAGGTGGAAAGAGAGTCAAACAGGATGAGAGGCAAGAGTTGGCTAGGGTAGTTTTTTCTGACCTAAGGTTTTTAAAGATAATACCAGGGACTTCAAATTATTTTAAACATCTTTTTAAAAATCTGAGGGAACATGTCACCGATGGTATATACGTTAGGGACATTGACACATGTCTTTGCTTGAGGTGGAAATATATTAAAATTCTGTGTAACTAACTCATGAGCTGATCAGAAACCCTGATTGGCAGTGTGGTATATTACAAAAATGGGGGGGTGGATAAGGAATTATTCCTTTCAAACCATTATTTCTTTCAAAACAGTATTTTTAATTAACTTTTGCCAACTAAGCATGGAAGTCATAATTACATACAACCTGACTTTGGCAGTGAGAGGGATGGAAAGGCCTGGGGCAGGGCCATAGGCTTCTAGTGCACGCAGCCTACCTGCCTTCCCTGCCTACTCCTCTGGGTCCACCTGCCCACTCCTCTGGGTCCACCTGCCCAGACAGAGGGCAACATGGCTGGGCAGGAAAAGTGGCAGTCTAAAGAATCACACACTCGAGTCTCAGGAGAGAGTAGAGCACTACAGTGACTTATCCCACCATGCCCACAGGCCTCAGAGGGACTGTGAGAGTACCCTGATGGGATAAGTCAGCAGAGGGAGTGGTTCCCTTTGTTTCCTTCAACAGTGAATTGAAGGAAATGCCCACCCCTTCCTGTCTCTTCAGTTGTGGCTGCCTGCTTCCCCTTCTGACCACCCCACCCTCCCCTGCACCACCCTATCCCTCTCCAGGAGGCCAAGGCCAGCTGCTCACCAGCTATGCTCAGGAGAGTTAAGATGAGACAGGGCTTCATGGCAGCCAGCAATCTTGCCAGGAGCACACTAGTTGGATAAAGCTGTAAACAGTCCCAGTCTTTAGTCCAAGTGCCCTTGGCCAGGACAGCTGGACAGAAGCTTTAACTGGGGCTTACAGGGAAGAGCAAGGATCTTGAGACTAGTGCTGCTCAAAACCCACTTATATAAGGCCCAGCTGGGTGCTGTCTCTGATGTGGGGTGGAAAAGGAAGGAGCAGACCAATTCAAGCGCCTGATGTCTCTTCTCTGATCCCAAATATCTCAGGAGTCCTGATGTATCTGCTGACATTTTTCCTCCCTCTCTGTGACATGGCCTTTTTTGTTGTCCCCTCCTCCCTTTGTGACTGTGTCCCCCCCCGCCCTCATTTGCCATCTCCCTTCTTCTAAAGGGCCCCTCTGCCATTCTCAGAGACTCACCAAACATTGAGATATGAAATACATTTAATAAATCATCCCCTGCCCCCCATTTTCATGATGAGGAAGCTGTGGTCCTCATGGAAGTTATTGGAAAAGTCAGGACTCAGACTGAATCTCTGGATTTCCTCTGACTTGTTGAACTTTATCTGAGCCTTGTGCTTCCAGAAAACAGTGACTATTAAAAATCCTCAGAATTTTGTGTTCAGGGAAATGGCTTACCACAAAGAACTACACTTTCATACAGGAGTTACTAGAGACTTTGTCCACTCTTTCTTGTGGCTCCCGTATAACTCGGGATGACTTCCTTGTTTACCTGTGACAAGAACAAACACAGACTTTTCCCCTTTTACTTGCACCTTGCTGAGGTAGCCAGAACACAGCCTCCCAACTCCCCATTCTTTGTGTCATGAATGATTAGCTAAGCTTAGAATTCTTTTTTCCCCTGAAACTGGCTAGACACAGAGAAAACTCTTTTTGTTCAGCTGACTGAGAAGTCCCCTGACTTCAAAACAATTGGTTTTCTCAACGACAAATCTCCCCACCTGTAACTTGTTTCTTTCTCCCTATAGAAGTCTTAAGGCAAAACCATCCTGCTGAGACACTCTGATATTTGGATCTGGGGTGCTCTTCCTGCAATAGTCTGAATAAAATCAGTCTTCTTACTTGTTCAGCTTTTCTTTGACTTTTATTACTCTTCAATGAGCGACACTCCTGTTTATGTTAGCCTTACATGACAACTTCCTGACTATCCACCGCTGCAGAGATATGAAACAAATAGTGGGTTCCATCAGGGATATTGGTCTAAATTTTCATGTAGTGTCCTTCCTTCTCTGGGTTTGGTATCAGGCTGATGTTAGCTTCATACAAGGAGTTTGGAAGTGTTCCCTCCTCTTCAGTTTTTTGGAAGAGTCTGAGAGGGATGGGTGTTAATTCCTCCTTAGATGTTTGGTGGAAATTGCCAGTGAGGTCGTCTGGCCCTGGGGTCTTCTGTGTTGGGGGGTTTTGATTACTGAGTCAATCTGTACTCCTCACTGATCTGTTCAGATTTTCTAATTATAAACTTCTTACGACAGTGAGTTCTAATGCCAAATAGGAAATGCTATGTAAATGCTTATTAAATGAAATACCTGTGACTTTAGTTATCTCCATAATTTCCAGGGTTCTGGGGATGCCTTTCTTCCCCTATGTCTGAAAATTGTCACAAAGTCCTACATAGTGGTGAAGAGCATGGACTCTGGAGTCCAGCTTCTAGGATTTGATTTCTGACTGCAAGACTTAACTAGCTGTCTATCCTGAAAAAAAACAGTTGACCTCTTAAGCTTCATGTAGGGAGGACTATTAGTACCTATTTCATAGGATATTTGTGAGGATTGAATATTACTTAAAAGCATATAAGAATGGTGTGGCACATTGAAAAAGCTTAATAAGTACTGGTTGTGATGATGATGATGGTGATGATGATGATGATTATATTTTTCACCTCCGCAGCAATGAGGAATGAATCCTGAATACTAAGAAGGAATAAACCTTCAATATGTCTCTGGTTCACAGAACTGTGTATTTTGGCTCAGCACTGTCCTGGGGCACACTGCTCCTAAAGTCAGGGATTGGAGATTATTGAACACCATGGGCATCTGGAGCACCAGGTGTCCCCAGTCTAATACAGCTCTCTCCACCAAAATAAATTAGTATCCCCTTTCGTTGTAAATATGTTTCGCTTGTGACACCCAGTGACAAATGTGAGACTCTGAACAGATGTGGGAGGGTGAGGGTGGAGCTGGTCAGTAATCCCAGCCTGCCCTATCTGCACTCATTCTCCGTTGGCTTCCTTCTTGGGCATGAATGTGGGTGAAGAGTCTTTTTAAGGTGGTAAGGGCTGCTACTAAGTTTTGTGATTTTCACCTAAAAACAAACAATATTTCTGCTCTGTAAAATCTATTACATGTTTATTGAGAACAATATGGGGAAAGAAACAATAGAAATATGAAACAACAAAAACTCACTAATTATAACTCCATTTAGCGTTTGTCTACTATTAGCACACCTGCATTGCAATACTCTTTTCTCTGCCCATTCTCCATACTTTTCCCTCAACAAAAGAAGTCAGTAATTTTTTTACTTTTTTTTAAGTGCAAGCAGTTTTAGGTTCACAACAAAATTGAGAGGAAGGTACAGAGATTTCCCATATACCCTGTGCCCTCACCAGTGCATAGCCTCCCCCATCAGCAACATCCCCACCAGAATGGTCCATTTGTTACAATGGATGAGCCTACACTGACACACTATTACCCCTCAAAGTCCATAGTTTACCACAGCGTTCACTCTTCCTGCCATTGTATAGTCCACAGGTTTGGACAAATGTATAATGAATGACATGTATCATTAGAGTATCATATAGAGTATATTCACTGCACTAAAAGTCCTCCGGGCTCTGCCTATTCACACCTTCCCCGACTTCCAGCCCTTGGAAACTACTGGTCTTTTTATTGATGCCATGGTTTTGCCTTTTCCAAAATGTCCTATCTTTGGAATCATGTAATATGTAAACTTTTCTGTTTGCTTCTGTCCCTTAGTGATATGCATTTAAGTTTCCTCCATGTTTTTTTGTTGCCTGATAGATCATTTCTTTTTAGCGCTGCATCATATTCCATTGGCTGGATGTCCCACAGTTTATTTATCAATACACCTATGGAAGAACATCTCCGTTGCTTCCAAGTTTTGACATTTACAAATAAAGTTGGTATAAACATCCATATGCAGCTTTGTGTGTAGAGATAAGTTTTCATCTCAGTTGTTGGATCATATGGTAAGACTATAGTTAGGCAAAGCCCATGGCCGAGATGGGGTACAAATAGACGATGATAAGACTGAGCTATTCAGAATACATGAGTATCTCTAAGACTGAATAAAGACTTTTGTATTTGTATCCATTCAATGAGACAGAACTTCTTAATTGACTTTTAAAAATACAACTAAAATAATACTAAGATAGTAAGTAAATATCTTTATTTTTTTAAAGGCCTTTGAAAATTTGGGGTTTTTGGTCCTCAGTTGGTTAAGCGTCTGCCTTCAGCTCAGGTCATGATCCCAGGGACCTGATATCGAGCCCCACGTCAGGCTCTCTGCTCAGTTGGGAGTTGCTTCTCCCTCTCCCTCTCCCGGCCGCTCTGCCTGCTTGTGCTCTCTCTCTCTCTCTCTCTCTGTCAAATAAATAAATACATGCATCCATACATAAATGAAATCTTTAAAAAATAAATAAAGGACTTTGAAAATTTTACTTCAATACCAAAATCAGTTGCTATAAAAGATGAATGATGAGAATAGTTCCCATTTAAATAATGAATTAAATAAAATTTCTAGGGTTTGAGAGGCTTCTATCTGTCTTATTAAAGAAAATTTCCTCAGATGAATTCATCTCGAGCATATGCTGAAATTCTTTGCTTGTTAATGGAAAAACTAACAAGTGGATTATGGTGTGTACCAATATGAAGTTAACTTCCACCAAGCCTATCTATCCTATTTGAGAAAAAATATTTATACAAAGAGCTATCTATCCTATATGAAAAAAAATTTTACACAAAGAGCTAAACTTCTATGTGCAGATATTGCTTTACTTTACATAGCTATGAAAGGTCATAACCATGAGGTTGACAGTTGAGAGTCATCTTAGAGTTTTCAA